AACTTTATTTATTACTTTATTTGCGGGGTCCTACGACGTGGTGATCGACCACTACTGAAAGTTGTTAAACCTAACTAAGCCAGAAAATTGAGATTTAGGTTTTATAAATAGTCAAATAATATAATAAGACATTAATAAACTAGTCAAGAGGATATTCCATAAGATAAAATTCTTTTGAAAAAAATTATGTAAATATTGTAAATTGATGGTAATAAACTTATTTTTATTCCCAACTATTATTTTGCACCTGACTGGCCATTAATTTCAGTTGACAAAAATAGATCCTTGCTGAAGGGTTATGAGAGCATTACTGTCCCATTTTAAACTTACTGGAAGCCGACTGGATATATTTAAAACACCTTCTAGACTCGGTCGGACGTGAAATTATTGAACTCAAAACGTGCTGAAGGCGAGACTTCATAATATATGTAGAGGTTTATTCACTTTTATTGTTTAATTTTGGAAAGATTTCAACAAGAACCTTTCAACCCAGAATGCACAGTTTAAACGGAGAAATCAGGTTTTTTCAAAGCGGTCTGTGAAAGCGGATCCTAACTCCTCTTCTTTTCTAATTTCGATGTGCACATAAAAATGAACGTCTTCGTTTTATTTAAAGATACAGCACGAAGGCTAAATCAATTCTCGAAATGATAACATTAAATATAATGAACAGAAATGAAGTGAAAAGATAATATAGGTTTCGCGCAAAATGTTTAACCGCGAGTTAACATATAATGACAATTACTGAATCATCACCGAGTCTGTTAATTATAATTTGAAAAATGGCAAAAAGGAAGGAAAATTCGAAAGAGTGTAGGTTGGGATGGGGAGTCGGTGTCGGAGTGGATCGAAGTCCCGATAGCTCAAGTGGTTGAGCAGCGGCGCATTGATCCGAAGGTCGTTGGTTCGAATCCCGCTCGTGACACTAACTTTTTCATTTCAAACAAAACTTTACATAAAAAGATTAATTAATTGAAAGAAGTAAATTGGTCAATCAGACCATTAAATATAATGTAATTATAATCGTTCCTTTCCATTTGAGATGCAAAGGCTGAACAGAAAGAAGATGAAATTGGGATGTCATCATTGATCAAACTGACTTAGAATTTCGTCTTTACCTATGAATGACCATTTAAAGGATACACCGGGTAAAAAAACAGTTTATCTTCCAGTTTTTTAATGGAGGCTTTAAGAATTAAACCAGACGATAGTCTGTCGAAGGGACGTCTTTTGTACGCGTAGACACTGTAAGGACTCAAAATAAAAACTGTTTCTAAAAATATCCTATTCGGGTGTCCGTGTTTAAACGATTGTACTGTTAAAGCTCGTGTTCTTATAACAAACTGTATTGTTCAATTCAGAATTTGACAACTCTATTAGAACGATGTAAGTCATGCTGAATATACAAATTTTCAACAAATTGTATGGGTAAATTGAGAAAATAAATCAGCATACAGAAGCAAATTTTTTTCCCATTAAGACTATCTAAAATAAATCCATATGTGTTTAGTTGTCATAACTGATCATATTAATTATTCCAATTAATTATTCTTTTATCTAAGGTTTTTGGTTGGGGTGAAAAATTAGTGTCATGAGCGGGATTCGAACCTACGACCTTCGGCTCAATACGCCGCTAACCATTTGAGCTACGTCTTCGAACCTCTCGTACACCAATTCCCTATCTCAACCTACAACCGTTCGAATTTTTCCTCTTTTTGCCATTTTTCAAATGTCGTGTACTCAGGATTCGATTCTCAGCGACTTGTGAAGAAGCCTTAGTTGACCATATTAATTATTATTTCTATCTAAGGTTTTTGGTTGAGATGGAAAATTAGTGTCACGAGCGGGATTCGAACCCAAGACCTTCGGCTCAATACACCTCTGTTCTAACCATTTGAGCTCGAAGTCACGAGTTTTGTTTGAGCGCGTGTATTTATTAGTGTGAGTGGTAAGGGGCTGAAAGTGAAACATAGCGTCACCATCGCCCATCCAGCTCTGTGTGTGTGTGTTGTATGTGTGTAGTGTTTATGGCGGAATATATATGAATGTAGTCTTACCAGAACTAGAACAGGTAACTATCATCCCACAGACCACAGGAGGAAATCTCACAATTTAAGAAAATTACTGCATCGACCCTAATTTAGATTAGTTTATTACCTTATATGAAGGTCGCTGGAATAGCAAGTCCTTTGCGCGACTGTATTGTATTTGTTAGTTTTATGCTTGATTATATTTTGTACGTGTTGGAGGCTGAAATGACCCTTCTGTCAAAAGCCCTCGTTAGTTGGGAACGACTCCTGGGCATCTGGCTTAAGGGGGATAATAGTGACCACCTAACGGGGTAGGTGAACTCTCTGAGAAGTCAGCACATAGCGGAGTGACAACCCTTCGGGATGGCAGTTCAGTCTTAGTTCTGGTTTTATGGAGGATCTCTTTCGAAACGCATGTATATCAATAGACACAATGACTTTCCTGGATTTGGAAGATATATCTTCATACTAATTATCTTTCCATTTAAACTAAATCATTTTAATCATTTGAAGCGTGATATCCCGAATCATATCAATAAATTATTTCCTTCTGTCTCCTTTTTTCTGTTTTTTTTTTTTTTTACCTTTTTTAATTAAAATAAGCCACAGTTCAATTTTGAAGTTGATGAGGTAATTATTTTTTCATGGTATCAACAGGAAAACTTTCTTACGAATAATGAAGTACAGTGACCCAGAAGATGAAATATTCAACGTCGGAAGTCGAAACTTATAATACCCACCTCCCCCCGCGTGAAACCACCGGATCACAACTAGTTTCGCATTTTCTGCAGGTTCTACGCTTTACCGAGATGATAAACACGGAGTCGCCAGGGATGGTTATCTTACTAATGACGGTGGATGGTTTTATTCGTTCCGCGGAAATTCCTCCGGGAATCGGCGTACGGACAATGGACTGCACTTATTTTACATTTCGCGAAATCGACTCCGTATTATAAAATACTTCACGCCTAGTAAATTTCAAGTCACGATATCGATTAATCACGAACCGGGACCCGTTATGTGTTTTGTCCACCGATGTAAAAAGTCACAGCGGATTCTTCTGCCCCGTCCTGAGAAAAGAAGGTTCAACATCCGTGTAGATGACAAAAGGTAGCAATTGCCACGAGAATTCGTTAAGGCGAGGCTCTGCTCTGTTCGCCTTCGCTTACAGATTCTACTCCCGGATAACATTTTTAATTTATACTATGAAACTGTTATTCGAACCGATATCATTAACATTATGTAATTGCTTTAAAACATTCGAAGAATAATTAATTCTCTGAAAATCATTAGATGATAAATCTTGTCCCGGAGACAAACTTAGCCGGTTCTAAAGATCATCAATGGCGATGAGATTAACATCAAATAATAAACTATTCGAGATAAACCAATTATCAAACTCGATACACTTTGTTTAACAGTGGATGAGATAACGAACTAACTGATAGAAGAACAGTTCAGACTTGTCACTTCGAATTGTCAAATTCTAATATTTTGAAGGACCTTAGTCATTTTGAAATGTGGGAAAACATTCAAGAACCGTACGAAAATTATGATAATGTCGTGATATCTTTTTTTACAAAATAAATCACTTTGATTATGATCCTTTTTTAAAAGAAGGCTGCCCCAATTAACATTTACTTTTCAATTTACATCATTGCCCCTAAAGAACACTTTATTTAATAAAACTTGCATAGAGCACACCTAATTGAGAGCAGGCGAACCGCGTGAGGCTGAACGAGTAGATACGTGAGAAATGAAACGAGGTAGTAAATGAAGGCCAAGACCAAAGGGCAAGGAACTCGACAATGAAAATTCTTTATTTTCTTATTTTCTTTAAGTTCCCTTATCCTTATAGTCGTTAACTAATAGTCAACGGTTTTAAAAAGAGCCAAAATGCAGCCATTATTAAATGCACGAGCCAAATAAATTTGACTTCGTGTTCCGTAAAAATTTTAGATGGACCTGTCATGTAGCAAGAAAACAAAACATTGATAAAAAGATCTATAAATATTCCTTAACTACTGAAAAGTTTTCTTTAAAGTGGCAATTATATTTCAATATTGCAAATTGTGCAGTAATTAGTGACCGTTAATTAATGACTATTTGGAGATAGTGAGATGCGGTCTGGTGTGATGTAGGTTTAGAAAAACGTTTTCTTTATCGCGCCGACGTTTCGATCTTTACTGAGATCATCTTCAGGGCTCAAAGTGTGTGTTTGCTTTGTAGATGTCACGTTGCGTATCCTGTTGAGGATGTGTTGTATACTGTATCAAGTATAAAGAATAGGTAAAAAACATTCTGTTTGGCCGTTTCGTATAGTTTTGACCAGCCCATTCTCGCAGTTTCGGCCAAAATATAGCTATTATTAAATGCATGAGCCTCGAAGGATTTTGGGTACCGAAAAAATTTTAGGTGAACCTAACTGTCATGTAGGGGGAAAACGAAACATTGATAAAAAGATCGATAAAGCGTGATTCCTTAACTACTAGAAAGTTTTGTTTAAAGTGCCAATTATACTTCAATATTGCATACTGTATCAAGTTTTGATTAAAGAACACGCAAAAAAACTTTGTTTGGTCGTTTCAGATAATTTTGGCCAGCCTACCCTCGCAGTTTTGGCATGACTTCATTGTATTATCCAGCAACTGACAGGTTCTTCACCTAGCAGACACGAAGAGGAAATTTCCCCGAAAAACTTTCAGTTTTGAGTTAAAACTTGTGTTATTTCTCCATAAAAATTCTTTTTTTTTAAATAAATAAAAAATTGACAGTAGGAAATTAATATTTAGTTGGGCATTTTTTTAAGGGTTGTAGAATTTTCTTATATTTAGACCACCAAAGTACGTTCAATGTTATATAATTTAATAAACTAATTTAAAAATTATCCTAATGACCTTTTTTTAAGATTTCACTATGCCATGATGGAAAGCACTTTCCGTAAACATGTATTTCGTCTTATGAATTTACCTCTTTTTTCCATAGCCCACGTTGTCGAGCTCGATGTGCCTGTACGCAGCATAAGTTGCCATCGTGGATCCGGTGCACTCACTTGAAATATCTCTGAGCTCCTTTGGCTGGAAACCGTCCGGAGTCGACTGAACCTCGCGCCACCCTCCACCAGTCTAATATATACTCCAGGCGACGATCCCCACCGCCTCGCCACCCTGGCCGGCTCTCTTCCACTCCCGCCCCACCAGCCGAGCATCGCGATAAGTGGTCGACGATTAAAATAAAATTATAAATAAATTTAGACAATAGGAAACATCAAATAATATCTTTGTCACGTTCAAACGAGGGAAGGTCCTTAAAATTTTACCCAAACGTGTATAGTTAGTAAATCTCTATAGGTTTACTTACTGCTGTCATGTGACGAGGCAGGTTTTTTTGTTTTTTAATTTATTTTTGTCTTCAGCAAAGAGGGTGCTATTTTCCTTAAGACTCTCATCTGCATGACGGCAGGATTAAAACGGCAATCCGCCATTGCGTCACCGAGCTCTCTCAAATCTCCGTTCCTCATCTAGGTGCTGAAGACTTCTGGCCAGTGAATAGTAACCATGTTTTAAAAAAAGGGGTGTTTAAAAAAACCTCGTGCCCGGAGTATTGGAGAGGTCCAAAATAGCCAACAATATAAAAAATTCGACGAGATTTGAAGAAATTCTTCAACTTGAAATACCAAGAAAAATTAATCCATTATTTGGTAGGCCTCCTTAGTTGTTTTTCGTATGTGGTTCGTTGATTTTTATTTATCTGGTCAAATGTGTAGTCCTACATTAAATCATTATATGTATCTATAGATAGATGATCTATAGATCAGTTTTCAATTTTTTAAATTAATTTCTAGGTGTCCAAGATCCTCTATATCTTTCTTTTTTAGACATCGCGTACAAACTTTAAATTTATATAATACATAGATTTTTTGCGTGACGTAGGTGCACATTTGTAAATCGCATGTTAGACTTTGATAGTGTAAAAACTTGGCTAGGAAGGGAGCAAAATTTAATTTTTCTTGAGTTTAACAGTATACTATTACAGGCTTATGATTTTGTCGAGTTGAATAAAAAGTAAGAAAGATATCCTTGACATTTGCTGGAACATTAGCTCTGATATGGTTTGTCGAGTGGTACTACTTAATACTTGGCAGAATGATTGTTGGAGTTGTATCATCTGCTTCGGCAATTGGGCTCTTTTAAAGTTGCAAGCATGAATTTTTCACAAGAAAAATCAGCAAGAATGGCTAGCTTATCCCGTTCATCTTGGTCTGTCTATCCTTACAATGTAATCTGATATCGGTATTTCTCCATTCCGTCGTCTTCATAAGCGTCAAACAAGATGGAAATTGCTGTATGGGTTGTTTGTTAACGATGAAATGCCGAAACGCGTCTGACGGACCAAACCAGTGAGGATAGGTGGATCAGGATAATCGGAAACGACCAAACTAAGGTCCAAGTTGTTTTCTATATCAGGGATGCGGTCGTAAAGAAGAGAGTATTATAACTCTTTGTCAAGCTTTCAACTTTTATTTGTCGCAAGCTTGGCAAAAAATTCCAACATTCTCATCTTTATGACGGCATCCCTGATCTATAAAACAACAACTTCGTGATATCCAGACGGCCCATTTACCTTATTTTCACTAAACCAAGGTATATTAAATTCAAAGGTGGAACACAACATCATTACATCATCATCACGAATGTGTGTCATCAATTATCATTAAAAACTAGCGAAAATAGATAAACCAAGGTTGATAATCTGTCATAATCAACCTACAAATTCGAATGATGTCTTCAGCTTCCGTCGTTGTCTCCACATGATTTAGTGTATCCTTTATGGATATTTGCTCTTTCCTAAAAGCTCTTCTATCACGAATCATCGAAGGACGAAATCGCTTTTAAAGGGCGCAGTACAACCCTGAAGTCTTGAGATTACTAAAACTCGAAAATAATCCTGTCGGAACATTTTGAGAGTTAGTCGTGGAATAAAAGCATAACTAGAAACAAACAACTACCTAACTGCACCGTAGTAGACCGAACTATTATTAAGGACACCAACCACGCAGAACTAGTTCCGACGCCAGTCCTACAAACAAAAGGACGAACATAAGAGACAACCAATATTCAAATGTCGTTACTCCTCGGAAAGAAGCATTCAAAGCAAAATAGAACAAACAGCAAACGCTTAATAAAAATGAAACATTTCGGAAGAGTAATGTGAATGTGAAACAACTAACTAACAAATTAGAACATTTCCTGCCTTTAATCAATTTATAAGTTACATATACATGTACATATGTTTTCTGTAAGCATCGGTGTCAATTTGTTTAAATTCAATTTAATTTATTTATTAAAACTGGTCTTATTAGACCAGCTATTAATTTTACAATAATATATACAGAACAAATAAATACTAACTTTTTTAATTATTTTGTCAGCTTATGCTTAGTTATATATATAAATACTCAATTAATTGTACACAATTATTTCTAAATAAAAAATTTGTGTCACAGGCGGGATTCGAACCTACTACTTTCCGCTAAATACGCCGCTGCTCTACCACTTGAGCTACCTTGACTTCGATCGCCCATGCCACAAACACGTGAACACAGTCCCGCGAATGTAGTACAATCGTTAATAAAAAGTGTTTCTATATGAAGCCGCGATTTGGTTACAATTGGAATAAAACGGGGAGTCGAAATGAGAAGTTTGTGGCATGGGCTATCGAGGTCACGATAGCTCAAGTGGTAGAGCAGCGATGTATTAATCCGAAAGTCCTGGGTTCGAAAACATTGTGTATAATTAATTGAGAACAAATACATGTTTACATTCTTATAAACCCATTGGTACAATAAGATTTACTTTTCACTGTTCACTAATTTTTAACTACAGTTCATATGTCTTTGTTCGTATCAACCGTTTTAAATTAAAGATTAATTAATTGAAGAGTTTATTTGGTCAATCGGACCACGAAACCTAATAGATTATTATTTATTATAGATACTTCTAGTAGTAGCCTGTTTATACGAGTATGAAGCTACTAAAACAAAGTAATAGGCCTTATTATTCTGAAGTTGGCAGTCTGACGCCTGGAGATCGGCCGGCGAATGTCTGATCAGAGATCGAACGAAATACTGCATATCGGAAATGCCGAAAGGAGTGTCGTATCCCTCCCAATATTAACATAGTGTTCCCGCCCAGGGCATTTGCTAGACAATGTACAATCATAATGCCGGGCTTGCCCATTTCCGCTGTTTTCCCTTCCTGGGTCCGCAGGAGGACCCTATTTTTCGACCGGGTTCGGCTTTCCTTTCACGTATTCACAAGAAGATAGAGTTTTTCTCACAATTCGTTTCGCTCTATGGCGTTTTGTCCGCTACAGGAACTTTGGCTTTTTAGAGTCGCGTTAACACACTTCCATTCTCCAGCTTCCATACAACGTTTATTTTAAAAATTTGATTACTGACTTTTACTGATTTTTACCTATGAGAAATGTTATTTTCTACTGTGTTTCGGATCTGGTTTCTGATCAGGTAGAGGAATGGAGTAGACTGTAATCACTTGCCAAGCTTTCGGCCTTTATAAGACCATCATCAGGGCAGCATCCTATTTCTTTTAACATTGCAGAATTACGAAAAAAACCGACGACGACATCGACTACGAGGTCTCGAAGTACATGAGGTTGGTTAAATTAAGACTACTAAGACAAGTTTTTTTCTGTTTTTTCAAGGATAGTGGTCTCCCAAAAATGCAGGTCCAGTCGATAAAGAAACATTATGCGGAGGAGGTAATTCCAATTATTAGAAATGGAATTCTACACATTAATCGTCGTGGTCGATTTTTTCTTCATCAACATTATTTTCTACAAAAAATAAAAATGTCAGAAATCGTTTTATTATATCATAAATAACGGTTCCTGCCATTTGCAAAAAATGATTGACAATCTATACAAATATACTAAAAAGTGGAACCTTGAGGTTAATCTCTCAAACCCTAAGATTGTTGTTTTTAGAAATGGTGGTAAAATGGCGAGAAATGAATCTTGAAAGCTGGGAGGTACCCAAATAGAGGTCGTTAACAGTTGCAAGTACTTGGGCATCACCCTTACAGCTCAGCTGTCTATGAATGGGCATTTGATTAAAAAAAATAACGCAAGGGAAATTTGTCATAAACTGTGGTCAAATTAAAGAACGATATACCAATTGTGGCGAAGTTTAAAGTGTTCGATGCAGTAACAAAGTCCATACTCTGTTACGGAGCGCAGGCGTGGGGTTTTTCATAAAGAATTTGAAAAAGTACAACTTTTCTTATTAAAAAAGTTATTTGATGTACAACAGGAAATAACAGGAAAAGCATCGATTTTTCAGTTTTTATTAGGACTCCACGTCGAATATGTGATGCAAGTTCTAAATGGCCCCGAAGAAAGATTATGCAAATAAAATTATTGCTAAAAAAATATATTGGTAAATCGGAGGAACTGGAGAGGAAATCTGAGGAACCCCGAACGCGAATTCTTACAAGTACGTTATCTATTCAAGAAAATAAAACGTTTAACGCTATGGTAAGACGTCTCACGAACAGGAACAACTAACAAAGGCACAAGCAACTTCACATGGATTATACAAATAACTTAATCTGACGTTAGGACAAAGCTCATACATATATGACAATAAAAATAGCTTATTCTTTATTGGAACAATTTTGTGAATGAGAGGAGAGCTCTGCGGCCTGAATTGCAACCCAGGCACTCACCTGCAGAATGTTCTATGTGTAATTTGGGTACGCCGGAAGACCATTATCACTTCTTAGCTGAATGTAGTGTTGGAGGAGTTTAAGGTCGAAGTGTGAGGCTTGAAGCAATTATCACGAGAAAGTGCTACTAATATTTTAAATGGTAAGGATTGGAAACGACTGTTTAAATATCTGGTGAATGTATTAAAATACAGGAAATTTCTCGCAACAGATTTACCTATGTATAAATAATAAGAACAATTTCCCACACCCATTATTTCTGATCTAATTTCAATTAATGAATCTTTATGTAAAGCATTGGTTGAAATGAAGAAGTTAGTGGGACGAGCGGGATTCGAACCCGCGACCTTCGGCTCAATATGCCGC